AACCAAAAATAAGAAAAGAGAAAGTAAAACATTAGATTGTGCACTTCGAGTCACCTAAAACTGAGAGATTTTGTTCCTTTTATTCTGTATATGTCTCTCTAAGCCAATGGAGATTAGCTTGGTTGGTTAGAGCATGGTGCTAATTAACACCAAGGTTGCGGGTTTGATTTCTTTATGGGCCATTAATTTAAGAGCTGGACTCAATGATCCTGGCAGGTCCCCTCCAACTTATTATAGTCTGGGATTCTGTTTCCTGAGGAAGTCATACTATTGTTTTTTCCAAGATGTACACCTGAAAACAGAATTTTCTGTCAGTATTTCATTGCTTCCTTCTTCTTAAATGGTTTTGTTTTGTTTTGTTTTCTTTTTTCATTAACTTAAACAATATCTTTTACAGCACTTGTCCACTTCTTTTACTGATGTCTACCTGTAGAACCTACACACATCTCAATTACCTCATACCCCATACTTCTACATGTATATTTTTTTCACAGCTCTTTCACTGTTATCATGCAAAGCTGCCATGATAATCCTGAATAAGTAAGCATAATAAGGATGAAAAAAGGTCCTTTTATGGCACCAAGTGGGATGCAATACAAGATTACAACACGTAAAACCAAAGTAAAGACTGGACAAAAGCTGATGACACAATTTGAAAAACGTATGCTTAAGACTGACAAAGATTAGGATAACTTTATCTTTACTGAAGCTTTAATAACTTCACTGTAGTTACATCAGAAACTCAGCAATTGTAACACAAAGAACCCACATTTATTGCTTTTTAAATATTTGGGGTTTTTTAAAGGTCTCATTATTTTTTAGCCTACCGAGACCATCAACTCTAAAAGATGAATCCTTACAGGAATCTAAGACTGATCCATGTACACAACACTGTATCAGCATGAATCATCCCTAAACTGACAATTCACTCTGCTGTCAAGAATTTAGTAGTTGCTTTTTCACCATTGATGCCAGGTTTAAGTAGCTAAATAAGTGAAGCAATTTGTCTTTTTATAACTTCATTAAAAAAACTCTTTTTTCTCTTTCTGATTCCTGAAATTTTTAAAAGAAAATACTGATATCAAGATTACCAAAATTCAGTACAATATTTCAGGTACAACTGAAAAGGAGAAATGTAAATGAAGTGTAAGTACAAAGCTTTCTGTTCTCTATTCCAGTCTTCTATTTAGTCTGAGAATGAAAAGGAGGCTTGAATTTAGTGGAAACATAGGATTATTGCAAAGCCTTCCTGTAGCAAGTAGAAATAAACAACTATCCCATAACTTCAGAAACAGAACTCAACCATTTAATGGAAAGGTTTATGAGATATGATTGCAAGACCAAACCCCATAGTGTGGACAACCCTCTATAAGCCCCAAATAGTATTTATTTAAAGCCATTAGAACAGAAAGCAACTATAATCAATGATTGAAGAAAAACTTATGAGTACAATATAAATAGAAATTGTCTACACCTGTCTCCTTCTTCCACTTCAAGGAATATGTCCTGATTACATATCCACAGTCTTCTGAATGTACTACAGTAAAAAATTGTAGGATATACATCATACATACACTGTGGATCTGTCACAAGTTGTAATTTTGTTCTTTACACTTCTATGTGCAGAGAACATTCTCCAGAAATAAATATTTTCAAGAATGAAATTACATTACAAAAATATTTAGTTCATTTAAATTTACAATCACATCCTAAGAGTTCAGGCCTGCAGATGTTTAGTTTTGAAGTGAAGCCATTTGCCCATATAGTGCAATCAGTTTACATGTGTTACAGTTCAGTCATTGTTCGAGTTGATGTCTGACATAAATGAATCTTTCCCTCTCCCAATGTTTAAATTTTCTTTTTTGTTATTTATATGACAATACTACCATAACAAGATCATTCTGTGCTCATGCAAAGCTTTCCTTTCATGATGCTTTGAGAAGCTTTAATGTCACTTGTATTTTCCTCTTTTTATGTGAAGATTGAATATCCAACTGTTACCTTAATTAAGTCTGCCACAGGCAAAGATCTGGCTTTATGTACCTGCAGAGAGAACTTTCATGGTACTTTAATGACTAGCTATAGATTGAGCAAAGTGACTCAAGAGGCAATGTAAGCAAAAGCTTAGCTCAAATGAGTGCCAGAGCTGTCAATTTCCAATTAGGAGACTTGTTTGTCTCTCATGACAGTGAACCACCACAAATTACTTGCTTTAGCACTGCTGGTTAATCTTTTGCCACCTGACAGATGGAAGTAAATCAGCTGACTTATGTTAATCACTTCCAGGAAGAGAGAATATTTAAATCCTGGCACAGTTTTGCATCTGTGATGACAGTATTAGGAGATATCATAACAACAACCCATTATTTATACGTAAGGTGTCATTTGAAGTGTGGTGGGGGAGGTTGTGGAATGACTGGCAGGGAATGTGGAGAAAATGAAAGGCATCATTCAGCATTTTTTCAAAAGCTCTCCCACTTGAGGAGAAAGCTTGTGATTGTTCATCTCTTGCGTATTTTATGTTTTTACGAAGCTGAACTCAATTTTCAGTGAGATCAAGTTTTTATCCTATATATATATATATATATATATATATATCAAGACATGCATACAGGTGTCCTGAAGAGATATTTTACAACTTATACCCAGCAACAGTATCAGTGACTAATAGCTCAATACACCACTACTAAAAATAAGAAAATAAATTTGGCACTACCAAAAAACCCTGAGATGAATTCTTTGCAGAAAACTGGAGAATAAGTTTCTTCATCAAAAAAAGACTAAATAATATTTGAAAGCTTAAGAAATATCTATTAAGACCTTTGTCATGTAGCTCTAAAATCCAAGCTGATGTCGTGAACCTTGGACTAATGCCTGGTATCACCTACCAATGTAAGAGTAAACTGCATTTCAAAGCACAACAAGACTGATTCCCATTTTGCTTTTTGCAATTTTCCCTTTTTGATACAACTATATAATAATTTGGAGAACAGCTTGGATTTCCAAGGTACTTTTTGTTCTCCTAATGACTGCCCTTTCCACAGGATTAATACTACCATAATTGCAGTAAGTTATTTAATGGATATGGGTTTCAAACACTTTTATTTATTTCAAAATCACATGTGATATTATGTAATTTAGGATAAAAGATAATAGGATCATTATTAAAATTTGTTCACACTTTAACTCAAAATTCAAACTTCCACAGTTCATGGCAGGACTTTAAATTTTGGTAAGGAGAGAAATTAACCTCTTCTGGGAAATGCCATTAAGGGGTGGTTAAGAGGCATATTTTTAATTTTAAAAATAGAAAAAAAGTTCTATAGCTATAAAACACAGTTTGTTATTCAGATTGTACTCAAGTAAGCAGGTTTCATTTTACTGTTGATCATTAACTTTACCAGCTAGTGCTCATGAAATATGACACAGTTTTAAACTGCACTATCCCCTTGTATCATCAGCACCTTCCTACTTACACATACATTTACTCACTCCGTTTCCCTCTATGATCTTACAAACCAAGTTCTACTTCACTGAGACTGCAGGATAGGTGCACTCAGGGGCTGGATTGAGATTACATGGACATTAAAAAATTCAAAACAGCTCCTGAACGTTTCTAATGTATTTTAATACACTTATAGTTCGTACCTGGCAATGTTTGGAGGAGGTCATTTCTGTGCTTCATGGTTCTTATTTTTTTTCTATGGGCTTCAGAAATCCTTTTGCATATAGGTAGAATTATCAGGAGTGCTAATTAAAAAGATAACATTATTGCATTCTGAATTGCATATGAAATTATACTAAGAATTGTTAGACTACCCTTCCTGACCCCATATTTTTTTTCTGACATTTATAACCACTTTCAAAAAGAGTGTATTGTACTCTGGCTCACAAGTCTAACTTGCTTGTTTTCCTTCTACCCACTTGCAGAATCACACTGGGTTAATTATCATTCCTGTTGCCAACTGCCAGCATACATTCCACTTGAATGAGTAGAGGGGATTCTGCAGAGCTGTTTAACTAAAATAATAGGCCACAGAAAAACATGGTGTCAAATACCACTTCTCAGGTAATTATCAACTTTCTTTCATGTTTTGTTGATATTTTCATTGCATGAAAAATGTTGTGTCTTTAAAACATAATACATCAAGTTTTGTTTTACATTGCTGTTTACTCACAGAAACACATATTTTTATTAAAGGCTGCTCTTTGGCTTTCTGCCTACACAGCTGATTTTTTTTTTCCTGGCATATTGCGTACATAAACAGTAAAAAATCTAACATTCAGATAAATCAGTTAAAGTGAATTACAAAGTTACAAATTATACTTATTTATGACCTTGTTGACCTTCAAATTGCCAAAAAAACTTACTGCTGTATCTAACCATATACAGCTCATTGTATTTCAATCAACACACATAAAAAATTATGTAGAAAACCCTGACATTAAACACAAAATTCCTCAAGCTGTAAATAGTGCTTCAAAATTTCCTTCTCTAAAATGGAAAAGATTTTATTGCTTAAAGGTGATATCTCGTGTTTTTTTCCCTTCAAAAGTCCTGTCTGCACTGCCATATTTTCCAAAGGTGTTGTCGTGAACTATTACAGAGATCCATATTTTACCTATGTCCTTAAATTCCAGCTCCAGCAATACAGAGAGTTTAGCAGGAAAGATAACACAAAGATCCACCAATACTGAGCTTTCAGGTGGGGTCATCACATGGTATTCTGCTGCATTATATTCAACTTAGAAAGCTGACATTTAAAAGGTGCGTAAACACAAATCTCAGTAGAATATCTGATTATTACGATTCATGAGTAATGGGAGAAAAAAATAGCTGAACCGAAACACTGGGAGTCTGCCAGACTGAGAACTAGAAAATGACTGAAGTGAAATAAATAAGGAAATAAACTGAAAATGAAAATATCACCTTATTACCATGAATAATGTCATTATAAAATGTAATACAAAGGATTTCTGTGTGATGGAAATAAAACCAGCTGGAGTGTTCCATTTTTTCCACTTTATTAATATGGCTATTAGAATGTCTGATAGCTATACGTACTAATGTTTATGAGTATGACTTTTGAGTTTTAACCTATTTCTTTTGATATGCCTATAACTAACTATAGCTTTATGTCACTAGAATGTTTATGTCACAGCAAGACCTAGAGGGGGCAAATATCTCCTTTTAAATATAATGAAAAATGGGAGAACTGATAATATGGAAACTGATAATAGAGGAACTATGATATAATTTCAGCTTGATTTTCTCAAAGAAATTTTTCTTGACTTGATAAAAGGGAATTAAGCATCCTAGAAAGTAAAATTCATCTATAAGTAATTTTTGGTGAACAGAAGCTGAAAGTTTCAATATTGACAAGACTAGTAATATATCAAAATTCAAAAGGGATTGAAGCTCAGAAAATACTTTACAAATTATTATTGATAAATGCAAATACAATATTTTCACTTATAAAAATGAAGTATAGAGAATCAGATGCACTAAATTTAGTAGACATAAATATACATACATTTATAAAAAATATATATTTACAAATATATAAAGTATATAACAAGACTCGGAAAACAAAGTTAAATTAATGGAGTATGGGTCTTCCATGGTCTGCACTGAGTATGAATTTCTATCCATAGGAAAGAAACTTTGAAATATAGCAATAAAAAATAATTCATAAAAACAGCAAAATTTGTATTTCTAGACATAGGAAAATTAAAGAACACAATACTATGCACATGAATATACTGCTGGTTCATCCAGCAGGTTTTGAGAGAAAATATTAATTATTTTAAATATATAATAATTTTTTTTTTAAATAGTACCATTAAAATTACCACTGTTAAGATGAAAAACATCTGATATTCTTGGTCACAGTTTAAAACTACAGTCTGATTCTCACAGAATGTGATAAGTGGAAATTCACAGAATCTGTGTTACCTGTTGTTGAAACGAATGGCTTGTCAGCAGATGCAGAATTTTAGACTAGCATTGCAGTGAAGAAGGTGAATATATTGTGAAAAATCTTTTAAGTTGGCTCTTTTTCAACATAGCTGCTTACCATTTCATAAGAAATGAGTTTGAATTCTGTTATGATTGTGATTTTGACATCCATGTGGAGAAAAGTACAACAGTTGAGTGGAATACCACAGAGATCAGTACTGGGACTTATTTTTATAATTTACTAGTTTCATTAAAAGCATACTGAAAGATACGAAGTCAACCTATTTCTTCCCCCCCCCCCCCCCCCAGATTTGAATAAAAACAAACAGGAAGATATCAGACCTAACCTACTCACATAATTTAGTATTTTGGAATAGCAAGCAGCTTGCCTTCAATGCAATTGCTTTAATATTAAATAAAGAGCAGCTGTATACCAGGAGACAGCTAATAAACAGAGCCCAGATAAATATCCCTAGACTGCAATATATGAAAACAAGACAAAAAAAGCCTATGGTATGTGAAAATAAGTAAGAGTTGCTATATTATTATGTCTGAATAAACAGTCAGTTTACAAGTAACTGGATAGATAGACTAGAGAAGCATTATTTTTTTTCTGTATATGCAAAATCAAATATGGCTGCATTAAAAATAAATTTCAATCACAAATAAAAGAGCACCAAAAATAGAGGAGACTGATTTCTCTTTATACTATAGAAAAATGTAAGATATGACGATTTTTCAAAAATCTATTCAGCAATTGTTTCAAGACAGTCATAGGAAACCAACACAAGAAAGCTCATTTAATCTCCATCCTTCATCCTCAAGACCCATACCAATTCCATTTTTAAAGGAATATTTCTATGACTATTCCAAGAATATTCTAAGAATTCCGAGGTTTGTGTTTCTAGAATCTCCTTCAGCAATCTATTTTAACACTGTTCTTTAATAATATAATGCTTTCTGCATGTTTCATCCAAAGATTCCCAGCTAGAATTTAGTCTCAATACCTCTTGTCCTATTTGTCAAAGTCACCATAGAAACTCCTACACTTGTTTTCATTGAAACAGTGCAATATTTGTACTTTTTCAAAAAACACACATGCAATGGGAGGAAAGAAGGAAGGAAGATGGAAGGGCTCTTCCTTTGGATAAATAACTGCAATTTATTCATATCTCTCCCTATAAGCCATTTTAATAGATACCTAATTATATCTTTGGTTCTGCACGAGACTCTTCAATTATATACCTATCCTGAGATGCCCATGGCTGTAAATAGCATGCATGTTTGCATGCAAAATAAATACTTCCATGGACCATTTTCGGGCTGTGAAACTCAGTGACTTGCACAGCTAAATTGTTAAAATGGCTGTCATATTTTGGCCCATCGAATTACCATTTTCCAAAACAATTTTGAAGGGCACGAAAGGAACAATGTCCAGTAGGGATTCTGGATCCAACCATTCTTTTCTGAAAGGTAGGAAGTGGTATAATGATGTGATATGAGCCATTTTCTGTCACTTGTTTCTCCTGACAGAGTCCCTCACATATTTAGTTTACACTTAGCCTGACCACTGCTGAGTGAAGTGAACGGATTACTGCATTTCTTTCAGAGACAGAAATATTGTCTTTTGCATATAAAGCAAATTTGAGCATGATGCTATGATTTCACATCCAACTTGTGATCCTTTGTAGCTCTTCTACCTCTTTCTTAACAATGTTCTTAAGGAACTGAAAAATTAAAGAAGAGAAACCCCCCCCAAAAACAACAACCAAACAACCAAAAAACACTAACCAAAAAAACCCAAAAAACCCAAACAACAAAAGGAAGTTCAGGCTTATCTTGAATTTTAGCCAGGCTTTCACATACTTGATACTACCAACCATCTCTCTGTTGCCTTGAATTTAAAAAATATACCATCAATTCCATAATTCAGTACCTTAAGCAAAATTCCTCAATACTATTAGATCCAAAACAGATTTCTTCTAGCTTTTCACTTGATACAGCCATTATTTACACCATTCAAAATAATGTATTTCAAGTAATTTAGAAACTAAAAATGTGTAAAGGTCCACAATAATTTGACTAGTAACTATTTTTGGAAAGAAACAACAACAAAAAACCACAAAGAGTGACTTTCTATTACTTTTGTGAAGTGTTGGTGGAATTGAATGAGTTAAATTACTTCTTAGGGTGTTGTTTTTACCTCTATGCTTCAGATAACCCAGAGATATATAGACAAAACACAATTTCCAGTGCTATAATACCAAACACTACATCCAAAGCTGATAAAACAAAAATCTGTAGTATTTTTATGGAGGTATTATATCCTATACTCTTTTGGGACTCTGCAACTGAAGAGGTCAGAAAGGATCCACTGTTAGACCCACCTAGACAGCGACAAACTGGACACAAAGGCTTCCCCCCAGAAGGGCTGATGAAGGTAAAACATTACAGATTCTAGATCTTCAAATTCTTTGACTTACCCCCTAAATTTCTCATCTTCTGTAATATATGATCATCCCTAATATTTCTTTCTGTGATCCAGAGGCACATTTTCAAACAGATGTTACTAGGCTGAAAGTTCTTCTTTAAATTAAATATGTCTTTGTTCTAAAAAAAAACCTGGATGAACTTCACCCCCAGTAGCTACTGCAAACTTTTTGTATTATAGAGGAGTTTTGTTACTGATTTTTTTCAGGTCCTACTGCTTTGAGTTATGTAATTGTCTAGGCTTTCATGTTAATAGAAGAAATGGTTCAGACAACTGTGATCTTTTTGAAAGCACTTCAGAATAAGTGCTTTTTGTGGAATTAAGAAAATGTAATCTTAAACTTGTAAAACACAGCAAAATTAAGAAAGGTGTGCTCTTAATACAGATTTTAATGAATAGAGCATAATTCTAGTGAGACAGAGTATGATTTAGAAAATAGTGGTTTATATTTTACATTTAAAATTAAAGTTTTCCAGTTAGGCAAGTGAAAAACAGTTCCTATCTTTTAATTTAAATACTGTTCATTCAACCAGTGAATTTTGTCCGTATTTTTACAATAATTCTATTTACAAGTTTATTTACCCTGTCAATTATCACGGCTTCATTAAGCGAACACTGTAAACTCTTCCTACACTAATGTCCTAAATTTTAGTCTCCTTGCAAACTGCAGCAGAAGCAAAGAAAACAATAAAGACAGAACATTAGAAGTTGCATTGAGGCAGGATAATAAGACAATATATATAAGGTTAAATATTTAAAGCAAACAAAAGGAAATTCAAAATATGTATCTTGAAATATTTTATGATTCCATAAGTAGATTCTTTTGATGTTTTTGCATATTATAGTTTGAAAACCACACTGAAGAGAAGCTTTCAATTTGATATGTAAAATATACACTTTGAATATTATGTAAGATTCACTTAAAAAAATTAAATGTTTTATAATTAGGATAAATACGTAAGCAAAGTGATCATTGACATTAAGATTTCTCCATAAGTTGTGAGTGTTTCCTTTTGCAGGAGCACAACATATTTCTTGATGCCAGCTTAGTTTAATTGGATGCTTTTTGATACTGCAGAGCAACTGAAGTGTTTTAAAGTGGTAAGCTGTATCATAAAAGTGCAACTAATATATTTGGGAAGTTGATTTTAGAAAATATACTTTTGTGAAGGAGAGGAAGGCAAGGAAGGTGGGGGGGGAGGAGAGGGGACGGGAAGAATATCTTTCAGTGTCACTGTACCAGGGTAACAAAATAATATGAAGCACAGGTAGGCAGTTGTAATTCAGAATACAAGTAAGCCATCCACAGTAAAACAATCACACCTTTATAAGTTTTCAGAAGTATTTCTAATGAAAAACAATACAATTCAAAAGAGAAAAAACCCCACCAAAATCTATAAAATATCAAACCCCTCTTTATTCTAGATTAATATTTGAAGATATTCATCCTCATGTGGAATTGTGAATACAATTATAATTCACTTCATTTCACAATGAAATGGAAATGATGGTAAACTTTAATGGGAGAAAAAATACCGAGCATTAGGAAAACATAGGTTTGGGGCAGAGCATTACTGTCCCTTGCAAAGGAAAATGTTCATGCATGGTTATGCCTCATTTACTCAAGACAGTTAAATTTCATATAATACAGAGGTATAGTAGAGGAAATACAAACTTTGTACACTCTTAACAGAAGCCATCACTCAGAATATCCCATTTCTAGATATCCATATTGCGTAAACAAATAATCAAATATGCAGATTTGCCAGCCATTTGAAAAGAGCTCCAGGGAGTTCGTGTGATCTAGTGGTGTTGCTGCTGCAGAAGGAAGGAAGTGCAGTGTCATTTAGTCTGAAGGTCTCCACCAGCCCCAGTACCAGCAGAAGTCCAGTTCCGGGTTGTTTTTTTCCCCCAAGACAGATGCAGGTGGAATGGATGGAACGAGTATGACGATAAAATTGTTCCTTCCAGTCAAGACAGACTCAATAACAAGCATTTATCTCCTCACAATATTTTCTAAAATCTGAAGAGAAATCTTTAAACTTCCTTCTCAATTTTATAATCCTGGATTCCTCCTCACTAAAATCAATAACCATCATAGATTTCAGAGTATTTATTATTCTGATTTGTTAAAAAACTTGTAAAACATTACGCTGAGAAAATGGAAAATGTATGTTTCAGTGTTTTTACACTTTTTGTACTTTTGTTCTCAAAAGCATTATTATCTCATTGAAGGGTTCTGTCCCCTAAAGTGTTCGGCTGTACAATATAGCCTCAAAAGGAACAGCGTAATGTGTGAGGGATCCTGACTGCTTTTAAGCTCCAATAAAGTCAGAGCTCATTATAACAAATTTCTTCAAGAAAGAACCCTTATTCTTGGAGGCATGACCTATAGCATAATTGGATAACCAAACAAATTTCAGCGTTAGAGAGAAATTCTCTGAAAATAATTTGTATAAAACAATAGACAGCCTTACCAGGGCAGAGGTTTGGAATGACTTCAAATAGAAAACAATTTTTATGTAGAAATGAAACTGTTCTCTATATTGTGAATAAAAACACACACAAAAAGCATCCAATATGTAAAACTCAATTTCTTATTCTTTATGTACAGGAGAATGTAAGAGTAGGATGCAAGAAGGGATATTGCACAATACAAACAGGGTCTTACATTGAACCATGTCCAGGAGACCTATGAACAAGGAGTTGCTGTTTGAAAGCCTATCCTAAATAAGTCTCAACATTAGAAAACAATTAAAGTTGTGGAGTTATCCCAATGCTCAACGACATTAATCAACTTTACCAACAGAATTCTTCAGCTAGACTCTAAAATTAATTGTGTTCATATTTTTCAATTAAACAAATGAATTTGTCATATCCCCCAGTGCAACCCTATTTTGACAGCGACTGCATGGAATTTTAAGTAAAAGAAAGGACTCTTGTCTTTGAACTTAAAAATTAAAACAAAGGGGACATAGCAAGATGAGTTAATACAGCCGCATCTTTCAAAGAACAGTGGATGCCCCTTTGCATTAATATTTTCAGCTGAAATATTTTGAAAAGCAATGAGAATCACTAAAGGTCGCTGTAAGTTTTAAACCTATCCCTGACATGAACACCCCCAAATTCACCTGATGCAGAAATAAGACAAGAAATTACATTTCCTACCTAAGAAAGACAGAAAAAGATGAGAACTCTGTGACATTATTGTCTGGTTAGCATTAATGTTCCCCAAAAGCTGAGGTCAGAAACTTATTTTTTACTGTAAGCTACCTCACTATCTAATTGAAAACTATCCTTGACTACAGCAAACCAAACAAAAAAATCCAATAACAACAACAAAAAGCACAAGACACCATCCTATCTAGGGTGAAATTCCAAGAGAATATGGAAAAGCATTTGGCACCATGTTTGTAGTCGAATGTTCACACAGATGACTTGGAACTCTTCTCAAAAGCTAAACATTTACAAAGACTTGTGTCATGGTTTGAGATTGCCCCCCCTGAGAGTCAGGGGCTCAGAGGTGATTGGGTGCCAGGGCAGTGTTCCCCGGAGGGTCAATCACCACTCATGTTGTTCGCTTCTGCTCAAAATTATATATACACAGCCACTGGAAGCTGTTGGCATATTTTCTGTTGGTGTCTGCTGCGTGTGGGTGTAGAAGGCCAGGAGGTGGCTGGGCTCCTTTCCCCCCCCAGGGGGGGAAGGAGAGCCCTGCAGCCCCTAACTCTGCCTAGGCCAGACTTAGAGGCAGCATTTGGAGTGAGTGTTTGTGAGGGATGTGACTCACAGCACCTGAGGTAAGAGGAGAGAGGCAGGCCTTGCAGCCAAGCCCTCTTCCCCCCCTTTGCAGTTAAGCTGTGGAGGGGGGCCTTTTTCTTTCCCTCCACTGTAAAGTGGAGAAGAGGCTCAGCATTGGAGCAGAGCCAAGTGGATGGGCTGATAACGAAACAGCTCGGCGCTCGGGAGAAGAATCCCAGGTGAAATTGGAGACAGGCCAAAGGGCTTAGGAGCTGCCCTGCCGAGTCTTGACTGGGGGCAGCCGAAAACTGACTTGGAGGAATGAAGATTCCAAACGCCTACTATGATAAGCTACAGCAGCAGCGAACCGAGGTATGAGACTGAGAGAGAGAGATCACACAGCAGAAATGACACAGGACGAAGGAGAAAGGACTCAAAACTACCTTCTTGGACTTCGTGAGGGGAAAGACTGGAGCAAACAGCTGAAGGTTGGCGAGGGAGTGTTCAGGGGCCCTGAACACTCCCACGAGAGAGAGACTGCATTACATATCAGCCTAAAAGGCTTTTCCTGGACTAAAGTTAAAAGGAGGGGCTTAAAAGGACTGATAGAAGTGTAATATATATATATATATATAGTTGCTTTTGGCTTGTATAGTATTTATTTGTGTAAATAAATGTATATACTTCCCCCTTCCCCTATAGAAGCCTCTGCCTGAAAGTTTTCTCTTCGGTGTTGGGATAAATTGTGGGAAGGGGTGGGGGGAAGTCTGGAAATTGGATTTTGGATCTCTAATGTGACTTGAACTGCCACAACTGTATTATTCCATCATGAAAATCTACAAATAGGTTTGTTACATTTCTGACATTAAACAGTTTTGAAGCTGAACACTTTTGTACTCTATAAAACATTCAATTGTAAACTTCATTAGATTAATCTAAGGTACATATGTAATTTGCTAGAAGTTGTGTAAATTACAGGCTTCAAGAAGCTCATATGTTATATTCCTTCAGTACGTTTTGTCAAGCACATTATTGGAAAGCTTCTTCTTTCTCCCTATATAAGCTTCTATTGGGTATATGGCGTAATACTCAAGTGCCTCCCTACATATATTCTCTGAAGCAAATAGTACATTTATATATTCATTCTTGTAAAATAATGTTTTGGATTTGTGTGAGCAAACTTGCTTCTATTTGCTCTTGTCTCTGAAAAATATGTAACTGAAAATATTTTGCATTTTCTCATTTTCATTTAATTTTTAACACTTTCACTAATTCAGGTATATCAAGAAGTCTCCTTAAACTCATGGAAAGTGAGGAAGGGCTAGCGCAGAGAATTAATATCCTTATTTAATGTACTTCACCAGGTTAAAAGCTGAAGCATAGGTATATAGTTTATACCTATATATAACATCAGTCCGTATTATATGATAGTACAGATATACAGTTTAAGTCCCAATTACCTTCAGAATCCTGAATCATGTGATTCACTGAGGTTGCTAAGACTCTAAACATTGTTTTAGGCTTTATCTAAAGTCCTGCTCAAGAAAACAAACTAACAAAAACCTCTGAAAGAGCAAAGCACCCATGATTTATGAAAACATATGAATGAGCCATTCATGCTCGTTCTTGGAATTAAATAGGGTACATAAGTATTTGCTGCATTTTTTTGTATATATATATGTGTGTGTGTATAAAGATACGTACATTCTTCCTTATACACATGCGTAGAAGGAGGAATTTCTCTTGAAATCATTCCAAATCAAAGGACTCAATTCAGTAAGCGTAGTTTGGACATGTAATAATTGTGCATATTTTTCCTCAAGCAAATCTGTATATAAAACTAGTTGCACTCTAGTTTGTGAAAACAGTATTTCTGAGAACTGAAGAAGGGATAATGACTAGAAGTAGAAAATAATTTCTGCATGATAGTCTAAAAAGAACAACTTTGCAAGATATTCCTCTTTCCATGTAACAACTAGTAATAGCCTGTCAAATGAGGAAAGACAAAAAAAGGATTTCAAAGAGGTGTGAAAGTTTTCTCAAACTTCAATCACTGTTTTGATTAATTTTAGCATGTATGGATAAATGTTTTTCAAATACAGTATTAAAAGTAAAAATACCCCAGAACACTCCATTTTGCTTCCTTCTCATACCAATACACTTTTTCTTGGCATTACAACAAATATTCTCGGTTTTTGTGCAGCGCCCTTAAGCACTTTACAAAAAGATTTTGGAAGCAGTGATGAGTGGTTATTGTTTCTATTTTAACAAGTGAAATATCTGTGTGGTAGATGAAACTAAGGGAAAAAAATGTATGACAGGACTATATTTCCTGGTGACCCAACCATCATATGAATGGAAAAACATAAAAGTTAGCTTATTAAAAATAAGTACGAAGCTTTCTAAAAATGACCTAATTTTTCTTTTTCTGCTATTGCTCATGTCGCCATTTCATTGACAAACATTCCCATGATGCAATAAGCTATATGCTGTATGCTATATGGTAAGACTTGTATTGCTATATGATATGACCTTGGCCTGGCAAGAGCATGAAGCAGATCCTCCTGGAAACTACTACGACACATGGAAAAGAAGGAGGTAATTGGTGACAGCCCCCATAGCTTCACTAAAGGCAAATTGTACCTGACAATTTAGTGGACTTCTATGGCAGGATATTGGTGGATAAGGGAAGAGCAACTGATGTCATCTACCTTGACTAGTACAAAGCATTTGACACCATCCCACATAACATCCTTGTCTCTAAACTAGAGAGGGATTTAATGGGATGTAATGGGTGGACTACTCAGTGGATAAGGAGTTAACTGGATGCTTGCACTCCGGGTTGTGGTCTTCAGCTCACTGTCCAAGGGGAGATCAATGACAAATTGCGTTCCTCAGTGCTGTTAAACGTCTTTGTCAGCACAAAGACAGCGGGATCTAGGGCACCCTCAACAAGTTCGTTGAAAGCACGAAGCTCTGTGGTGTGGTCAACATGCAGAGGGAAGGGATGTCATCCAGAGGGACCTTGACAGGCTTGAGATATGGGCCCACGCAAACCTCGTGAGGTTCAATAAGGCCAAGCGCAAGGTCCTGCACATGGGTCAGGGCAATCCTGAGCACAAATACAGGCTAGGGCATGAAGGGATTGAGAAAAGCCTTGAGAAGAAGGTCTTGACGGTGTTAGTGGACAAGATGAAGCAATGTGCACTTGTAGCTCAGAAAGGCAATCATATCCCGGGCTGCATTAAAAAGAGGGTGGCCAGCAGGTTGAGGGAGGTTATTCTGCCCTCTGAAGTGCTGCATCCAGCTCTGGAACCTCCAACATAAGTACATGAACCTGCTGGAGCGAGTCCAGAGGAGGGCCACAAGGATGATGAGAAGGCTGGAGCACCTCTCTTATGAAGACAGGTTGAGAGAGTTGGGGTTGTTCGGTCTGGAGAAGAGAAGACCCTGGAGAGGCTTTATAGAAGCCTCCCTGTACCTGAACTGGACTTAAAAGAAGGCTGTAGACTTTTTTACTATGTAGTGTAGTAGCATGTAATGATAGGAAAAGGGGAATGGCTTTAAACCTAAAGAAGTAGGTTTAGGGTAGATATTAGGAAGACATTCTTTTCTTTGAGGGTGGCTAGACGTCCTGACTGGTTGCCCAGGGAAACTGTGGATGTCCCATCCCTCTAAGTGTTTGAGCCAGGTTGGATGGGGCTTTGAGCAACCTATTCTAGTGAAAGATATCCCTGGCCGTGGCAGGGGAGTTGGAACTCAACGGTCTTCAAAGATCCCATCTAAGCCAAACCATTCCATGTTTCTATAGCAATGTAAGAAGTAGCAGCATTAGACACTGTTAATATCAGAAGAAGCCTATACAACATGTCATCCATAAGAGAATTATTTCTCCACTCTTTCATTGAAATTAAAACTACTAATTTTCCAGTTGAATTGTTTTGCTTGGAAATTCTCTTTCAAGTGTCACTCTTTTTCAATGGCAACACATTATTTATTTTTAAAAGGAACAAGCATTTAACTGTTAAAGCTGTTTTACCACAGTGAAACAAAGCAGTCTCAATATATTTGATCTCACAATTGATAAATAAGCCATCTAAACTCAGAACCCCATAAAATTAAAACAAACCCTCCTTTGATGTATTTAATTCTAAAATTTTCTCACACACAAAATCTCCAAGTTTATGTGCAAATTATGAAAAACTTTGTTGGGCAAAACATACCAAGAACAAGGTGGAAGGGAGTGAAGTAGAGTAGTTGACCCACAGAAAAATGTATTATGTAATAATTTCTAAAAGATTTTGAGAGGAAGTGCTGGAAAATTTCAAAGAAAATAAATTTTTTTATGATTACTGACAAAGTTGTTTATTATCTTCTGATTTCCTTACAATACTTAGAGTATTTTTGTGATGCATTTTGTATGCCATGTAATTTCATGTTTCAGAATCACAGGAGACAGAGCTTCTAGTTGCTTTGGTGATATTTTGTCAGTGTGCATTATGTTACACACCTTCTACAGATATGGTGTCAAGAACATGTAGGAATGCTGAAAAAATTTTGTTCCTGTTGAATAACAAGACTTGGATTCTTGAAAATCAACATAATAGCAAGAGTTACATTCTTTAAAATCAATATTTTTTTAATAAAATAACATCTCTCTCTCATTTCAGATACCTCTGGGAACTAAACTGAACTCCCTAACCAAGCTGACCAAGCTGATAGGACACTTCCCCAAGCCTTAGTAGAGAAGTTTGCCTCATGGATTTCCAAACAAACTAGCATATTGGCTACTCTCAATTTTTTCCATGCAAAACATATAACTTCTATGAGTTTTATCTGTTTTTCTAGCCCTACATTAAAGTAGGCAGTTTCGAAGTTTTTTGAGACAAGGTAAGAGAAACAGATATTTCTGGAATAAATATTTCAACATTACCTAAAATTGCAGCATAATTGCACTATTTCAGATCACAGGCTGTGATCACGTTCAGATGAGTGTTGCCTATAAAACTGTCCAGCTGTGACCTCAGGGCCTCTATGCTGGTTGTTGACAGAAGCCAAACCTTCATTAAAAGCAAAGCGTTTGCAGCAACTGAAGAGTTGTTTCTCTAGTGAAACGGACTTGCTGAGCTGAAATCTTGTGGCCCCCTCCTGTGAAGCCACCTGGCAGTTCTGCCAGAAGCCTGGGTGTCCTTTCACTCTGTAAGTCAAGTTCCCCAGTACTGCAGTTGCTCAAATATAGGGCTACTACATCAGCACCAGAGCTGGCAGCAGGAAGCACTCGGTCCAGGCATCGCAGATGGTGTCTGGGGCCACTTCCACTGGAAGCTTCCAGCTCTCTGAAAAACTGTCCGGGACCTGGAGGAGAAAAAGTTCTGAATTGGTATTCCCAGAGCCAGTTTCCTACATAATACAGAAACAATAAACTCTCTTTACCTATGATTTCTGTACTAAGATGAGAAGTCTCTTTCAGTCAGGGTATTCAGAGAGAGATGCTAACAATGGAATTAAAGCTTCCAAATTACAAAAAGCTCACTACAGGCTTCCTTGAATTTCTGCAGCAGCACCACACATCCTGACAAAATGCTACATACACTTTAGTTTTTCAAAAAATCACATGATGTCTCTGTTAAATGCAAAAATATTGCTGCTTTCCGCTTACTGCCATTTCAAGTGTTGAGTCAACATAGTAC